GATTAAATTCACCCTACACTAAAGAAGCATTCAGTGTGGCAATTAAAATCGAATACATTTAGAATTTGAAAAAAATGATTCTAGTGCTTACCTATAAACATATAAAACATCTGAGAATGAGGAAAACCTATCAGAAGTCTAATATTAAAATATGTGAGAAAACTTTATTAAACACACAGGGTAATGTTAGGATCCATGTAGAAAGACACAGCAAAAAAGAGAATAGAGCATTTGAAATAGACCCAATGAGCAGGGACTGTGGCATATAAGCAGTGCACAAAAGTGGTAATGAAGAAATACATGTTGAGATACAGTAATATCTTCTGGGGAAAAACAACCTGAAGTCTCCCAGCTTACACTTCCCTGTCTATAATAAGGAATATACTGGCTTCCAGAAGCAGCACAGCCTTAACCATAGATCATAAAGCACTGCAATAGCTCATGCTGCCACTTGGAAAAAAACAAAACAAAACAAAAAACTATAGGTGTCCTTGTCTTGCAATGGTTAACATAAATTTTCAACGCTAGGATTGTGTGAAAGAAATTATGTAGAATTGTGATTTTTCCCAGGCTAGCAACAAAGCAGTAAGATGCTCTCTCCATGCTAGGCAGAGACAGAGAGCCACAGCTCCAAAGCAGCCATGCAATTATGAGTGGGAACAACGGGATCTCTTCAGGGCCATTTGTTGCTGAGCTGTGATGTCCAGAAGGCTGGATGAATGAAATGTACTTTCCAATTATGATACTTTCTTAACCTCTTAGTGTTTGTCAGGATGTAAACCATGGGAAGTTGAGGAGTATGTGTAGTACAAAATCCATTCTCAGTTTTATGCATAAAGGCAACATACCAAGATGGCCCCTGCCCCCAACTCCCTGAGAGCTGTTGATACCACTGTGGTAGTAAGAAGTCAGCTCAGGGTTTTGAGGAACAGCTCTGGTTTCCTAACACAGGGTATTTCCTGTTCCTATTTCCTTTCCTTCTTTCTTCCTGAAATAACAGTCTGCTGCAGCCTTCTGTGATTTGGAGGCAGAAGGCAACTGACTGAACGCTGCCCTATGGAAAGACAGAAGATTATGGGTCCCTAAGGGTGTCAGCCAGTCCCAAGTCACTGATCTGAAAAGCTTTAAGGGATGATTGTTGGAGTTTTCTCTTATTTGTAACTCAATTGAGTTCCAAGTGCTTTTAATGAAGAAGTAATAATGCTTGGAGAGTGACGCTTTTCTAAATTGTAAGAAACCCTAAATCCTTTAGGGAAAACACTGATTAATACTGAACTTAAAAAAAAAACCCAAAACACCAAGTTATAAACAAGTAAACAAACATGAACCATATGTACATTTAAAAGAAAATTTTAAGAAAGACAGGGAAAAATATGTATGGCTAATTGCTTTCAAGAGAATTGGGCTCTTTGTTACTTAGCCTCAGGGTTTATTTAACATCACATTACCTCTATGCTACTAGTTGAAGCAGTCATAAGACTACCCAGACTCAAGGAAAGGGGATCCATACGTCACTGGTCAGCAAGAATGGCATCAAATAATCTACAAGAATGTTTTAAAACTACCACAAACTGTAACTACTATCAATCCCCTTTCTAGGAATTTATCCCGTAGAAACAAGCAAGCTTGAGTGCAAAAGATATACAAGATGTATGCTCTAGACTTATTTATAACAATGGTTCTCAAATTTCAGCAAGCCTCAGAATTACCTAGAAGACTTGTTAGAACTTAGATTTCTGGGCCCCATGCCCAGAGTTCCTGATTCAGGTAGTCTGGGTAGGGCTAGATAATGTATATTTTTAAGAACTTTCTAGGTAATGTTGATTCTGTGGCTCTGAAAAACAGATCCAGGCATTTCTGATTTATAATTCTATACATCAAATTCTATTGCTGCACTTGTTTTCCTATTCTATAAAGAGAATTTGACTCAAACACGCTATGATGGAATAAAGAGAAATCCCTGGCCTTGTTACTACAGACACACACATTCTGAGTCACATTTTTGATAGGCGGAAAACTCTCCAGGCAACTGAACCTTAGATGTCAACTTTCTAATCACAGAACAGCATGACCTAGATTAATGTGAAATTTGAATTGGAAGGTTTTGGTGATTTTACAGGTAGGGAACTCTTCAGCCTCCTTGCATGGGTATGTTGCTGGCGACTGCCACTTCTAGCCCTCTTTCCTCAATGCTTCAGGGTCTGCAGCCACCACAGTACCTACTAGTGACAGGTATGGTGATACCAGAAATAGAGAAGCAGTCTTTTCAGGTTAGTAAACATTTCTTAACTAGGGAGACTCCAGTTATCTACCTTCAGTTAGGAAATGGGCTGCCTCCTCTGGAATCCCAGGACACCATTTACACTCATTGTGCAGAACAATTATCTGTGGGGCCTCCCTGTGCTGTGTGACAGTACAAGCTCCTCCAGGACAGGGACACATGGGGCTCACTGCATGCTGCACATGCTGCCCAGGGGGTCCAAGTGTCTTGGCAGACATCAGGCAGACATGCTGCAGACATACCTGGAAAAGCCCGTATTTCTTTTCGAAACAAGTCATGAAAATTCAAACCTGTAATGACAGTCTTGATATAGATCCACATTAAAATTCACAGCAGCATTTGACCCAGCCATCCCTCTGCTGGTTATCTTTCCAAAAGAACTAAAAGAATCATATCACAGAGAAGTATGCACACCCAAGTTTATAGCGGCACAATTTGTAATAGCTAAATCTTGGAAACACCCCATTTGCTCATCCGTTGCAAACTGGATAAAGAAGATGTGGTTTTTCTATAAAATGGAATATTACTCAGCCATAAAGAATGAGAAAATAGATTCATTCATAGGAAAATGGATACATATTTTTTTTTTATTGAGTTTATTGGTACATTTAGGGATACAGTACAGTTACATTCATTGTTGGGATCATGTATCTTTACATGGCAAGTCTTGATTCTCATTTTTTTCCCCTT